TGCATGCACTGGTGAGCGGAGAGGAGTGTCTTAGTTCCTGCTCAGCGCAGGTTTGTCCTCTCTAAAACACTGCAGAGAGTGTTACATAAGAAAGATCAACATGCTTATCTGGGTTCTTCCTGTTTTAGACTCTGGGACACTTGGAGAAGGCTGTTGTGTTGGAGCTCACGCTCAAGCATGTGAAAGCTCTTAACAACCTCCTGGAGCAGCAGCAACAGAAGATCATTTCCTTGCAGAATGGAATGCAAATCGGTGAGTTTTCGGGCCATGCAAAAAGGGCAACATACTAAAAATGTTACCGTTTCACAGGAAGCGGCCCCGCTGAACTTTTCCCCTCCCCATTCGTTAGTTTTCGAGTGCATTACAAAATAAAGAACCTGAGACACACTTACGCAACACAGCAAATGATCTGGCCTTCAGTACTGTTGTGAAGGAAAATGTCGGCGTGGTTTCTAACCCTTATTGGTTTTATTGCAGGTGAACAGGGCAGTGGGCACTCGGAAAACAGCGAGGAGATGTTCCATTCCGGGTTCCACTTGTGTGCCAAGGAGGTTCTTCAGTTCCTGGCCAACCAGGAGACCGTGCATGACCTGACACCTTCTCACATAATCAACCACCTTCAAAAAGTGGCATCTGAGCTCATTCAAAGCCCACCAAGCCCTCGTCTGGATGAGCCCACTCCCAAAGCTCAAGAAAGCAGAGAGAAACCGGCAAGCCCACAGCCGAAAGCAGCAGAGGGCCACGCTAAAAACTGTGTGCCCGTTATACAAAGGACTTATCCCCACAGCAGTGAGCAAAGCGGGAGCGATACGGATACCGACAGCGGCTACGGGGGTGAGCTTGAGAAGCGTGAACTGAATGCCCAGCGGCTGATCTACTACGGCAAAGATGCTGGAGATCTCAAGTACAGCGGCAGCATTAAAGAAGAGCTGGATGAGCCACAGGCCAAGCGGCAGAGGTCCGACTCTTCAGAAGACGAATCTCTGTCAGGGCACGACGTAGTGAGTGGCCACAGCCCCTACGTGAACTTTTCTCCACACCAGCCCCTTTGCATGCCCTTCTACCTCTTTCCAACCGGAGCGGCCGCTGCATACTTGCCCATGCTGGAGAAGTGCTGGTACCCGGGAACCATGCCTGTATTGTACCCAGGACTCGGCGGCTCCCCGGTGGGTATGTCCCCTGAGAAACTCCCCTCGTCCTTGGTCATGTCCTCAAGAGTGGGTTCCCCCATCACCACTCCGACCTCCATGGACTCACCTGCACTCCTGCAGGCCCTGAAACAAGTTCCCCCGTTAAACCTGGAAACCAAAGACTGAGGACTCACTCTGGGGTCCGCCAATAGCCTACTCTCTGAATGTTTGGGTCTTGAGAGTGGACTTCCCTGCTGCATAAGCTCCCGAAGAGGGTTCGGTTGAAGAGGGCAAGAAGGCAAAGTTCAAAGACGCGCCCTCAAGTACGGCAAACAGCTGTTCTGATTCCTTTCAGACGTACGACGGCCTCCCTTCAACCGCAGAGACACGCACACACACACACACACTCTTATCAACTTCCTCCACAACCAGCAGACACACAACTAGAGATGGAACGGTCCGCGTGGATGCAGACGGGTAAAGGAGGCCCTGTGCAAAGCACTGTGAGACACTGTGAAGAAGGTCAAAATGAGGACAGTGAGCTCTGTCGTTCGAGAGAAAGGACCTGGGGTGGGCGAACGGCTGCTCTCTGCACTTATGCCGAATGTTAAGTTAAAAACAATACAAAACAATAACCCAGAATGTGACTTGCAGATGGTCCCCCAATGTTAAGGACTTTGCCCTTTGCACAAGCACCTTTTCATTTGTTGAATGTAAACGAAAAAGTCATTTTTGTAATAAAACAACACCCCTGTAGATGCTGCTTTTTTGGACATTTCTCTGCGCCGTGGATGCTTGATCAGGAAGCTCCACTCTCTTCTGCTTCTGTGACTGCTTTAACCTATAAGAACCGTCCTTTTAGACTAGAATGCTACCAAATAAATGTCTTTGCTTTTGTTGACCGGAGCACACGGCGTGCACGTTTCTCTTCTCGCGCTCACCTGAGTTTCCTTGCATAAACAAGGACGCCATTGACCCCTGAGACGTGACGCTCGTGTAAATGTCACGTAATCACGACTCCGCTGTAGCTTTTGAGTTTCTCATCCATTCGTGCATGTAGGTGAAGTTGTTGTGAGGTAACTGCTTTGTGTAATTATTTTGTTTATACTACTTGTACATCTGTATTTTTGATACGTGACCCACATACAGCCGAACGCTGTATGCCATGAAATTGTGTACATAGCTTTGGACCTAGACTCGATCTGCATCATGTTCTGTGTTCATTTCCGGTCAAATTAGGACAGATCTTTGTTCATCCTGTTGCCTTTACCTGTTTAAAGCAGTAAACATGAGGGCGGATATCTACATTTTTAATCCTGGATTCTACATAGAAGCAAAAGAAAGTGAATGTAATGTTAAAAACAATATAATAGTTTTGTATAGGAAGAGGTACTTACTTTTTATTTTGGGACCTAAGAAAAGGTTGCTTGATGTATATATTTTGTCTAAAGTATTGTTGACATATATTAAAGAAAAAGTATTAATAAAGTTGTTTTTTTTCCTGTGGAAATCATGCCTGTCTAGAGTCTGTGTTTGAGAGCTTGAACATATTTAGCTGAAAAAACAACCTTGCTGTTTTTCCCATCACAGCTCGTCCTTATGTAACACTTACATAACCCATAAACTTGCTCTGTCTATGCAAATCCTTTAGTTTAGGCACACACTATGATAAGAGCCAGGTTACAAATATTCCAGCCTCACACCTAACTAAAGTCCATGCATTTTCGATAAGGTTTTGTGGTGCACTTTTTCTACCAAAAAGCCTTTATAACCCCCCAAAATGAGCAAAGAATACATAACTGATTATTATTACATTCATTGCAACTGAGTTACATTTCTTAGATGAATCACGTCCTTTTCTAATGCTCGTTAGCTGTTGAATTAGGTTAAGACTCCCCGCGTGTCTGGCTGTGTGCTCGACCCAGTGCAGCCTCACTCCTCCGCCCCGCTGGGAAGCGTGTAATCGCGCCTGACCTGCCGATCACATGTAGAGCCGCACGGAGGGTGAAGCATGGGCAGCCACATGCCACACATCCAGCACAATCGGGACAGCTCAGCGATAAAGACACTCAAGTGAAGGATTATGAGACAATAGCAGTATTATATGTTGTATGCAAATGATGAATACCTATCAAATCTATAAATATAATTAGTTAATATAATTAAACAATACTATGTTTTAGAGATATTAAGTATTCTTATCATTAGGCTATTTGGTTGTAAAACTATCAAATTAACTATTAACTAGCTATTAACTATACTGTACCAAAGCAGGATGATAAGATAAGATTTAAATAGGCTTTAACTGGTGTAGAGCTCTTACCAAAATGCAAGCAATAAATAAACAAATACACAAACAAACAAATAAATAAGTGAAATAAAGTGGCAACATTGCTATTGGCTGTCATAAAAAGCTAACATTATAATTCGTTTCTAAAAACAAACAAAAAATGTAATGAAAATAATAGTCAGTAATATTGTGTTTGCAAAAAGACAAGAACGAGGTCCTGTTAGGACAGCAATGGCTCATCATTCTATTCTAAAGCTTTTAGCGCCATCGTGTGGAAAATCGACGAACTGCGTCGAACTTTACGTCTCGCGTTCAAACAAACAATTAAGCACAAAATGTTCTTTCTTTCTTTCGTTCGTTCTTGTCTGTTTACTGTATTTATTTACAGTGTGGTCTTTACCTGAGAGAAGCCTGTCAGAAGACTTCAGCTTAATACGTAGTCGTGCATTTTTTTCAACTTGTATATATTGATATATTTACAACGATCTACTTATTTTTACTTCTTATTTGTATGCTCGACAGTATTTCATGTCCATTTACTTCTTATTTTAATTGTATTATTTGTCTATAATAATTCATTGTTTGTACGAAACTATATATAAATAGAAAGGATAATGTGTATTAGGCTACATTTTCTATACAATTAATTAATTTATTAAATAATTGCATGTATTATTTTGTTTGTTTGTTTGAACAAATAAATAAACATAAGTTTGCCTAATATTTATTTACTTAATTTATTTTATCACTTGTTTATTAATAAATAAATGTGGACTTTATTTCTTGTTGTGTAAGCAAAGTAATACAAAGTTTTCGTATGTATTTATTTACTTAGCGACGAGTTATGCTGGGTACACACCACAAGACAATCTGGTATTCTCGGGAGGGGGAAATCGGGGCTAAATCGGGCTAAAAATCCTGTAGTGTGAGCCAGGCTTAAGCTACGCATTAATGCGGGATGATGACAGCTATATGATTACGTCAGTACTTTCACAATAGCCAATGCGGGACCGCAAAGCAGCTGCTGTATGGCCCCGTTGGATAGTGGAGACGGAGGAAACTGCTTCTTGAAGTTTTATAGTAACACGACTGTCTGTATAATGTGTTGAAAACGCATCACAACCGTAAGGAGAAAGAGAAGCGCTGGAGTGAAATCGGTTTTGAATGTAACGGGTGAGTGTAGAAAGCAGCTAGCACACTAGCTAACATATGTAAACATCACTGAAATATCAATGAAGATCTGCTGCATGAGATCACGCGAGACCTCCCTCTGGCATGATAATCTTAATAATATCTTGTAGTGTGTGATGCGCCACGATGTTAAAATCGTGTAGTGTGTGCATGTTTAAGATTCGAGGGAAGATAATCTGCAAAGATTCTCCTTATGTGTGTGCTGCAACCAGATTTCATAATCGGTTAGGATTTTAAAACTCCTGTAGTGTGAGCCAGGCTTTAGTGTGTACCCAGCATTACTGGGTACACAGTGCTGGAGGACTTTTATTCTGAACGATATCCGCTCGGTCATTAGCGGTGCGGCGCGGCGCGTTTATTGTGCGTCATTTGTTGTCACCTGACCTCAGCCTGCTTCTCTTTCTCTTGGATTGATTCCTCCAGCAGGAGCGGAATCTGCCCTGCCTCATCCTGACGAGCAGAGCTCAGCCAGCAGCGCAGCGCGGAGATGTTGGCCCTCATTCACCGGCTCCTGGACTGGTTCAGGTCGCTCTTCTGGAAGGAAGAGATGGAGCTGACGCTGGTGGGACTGCAGTACTCTGGAAAAACCACCTTTGTCAACGTGATTGCTGTAAGTCTGGTTTCATTCCTCGCAGTTTGAACATCTTTTATTGTTGTCATGTCATTGCCTGCTAGGGGTGGAGAACAGATGCTTTAAAAGCTGTTCGTGTGAGCAGTGTGCACTTATGAATATGGGTGTGATGTATATGAAAAATGAATGGCTAGTTTCTCAAGGTTTGAAGACACTGATGACTTTTAGGGTGGATGAGATGCCACTTGTGTGTTTAAGCTCTTAAATCTTATGTAATCATGAATAAAACCTATATTATTTTAATATTATATATTATAATATATTAAAAGTATAATAATAGTATTACAGTATTGGTTAATATTATTGCAAAATGAGATATGGTAATTTGGTATTATGGATTTCCTTCTATGTTTATGTTCAGTGCCCAGATGTGTTTTTTGATTTCCTTCATAGATTATTATGTGATCTGAAAACAAGCTTCCCTTTATGGATGCATCTGACTCAGAACAGATGCCATTTGTGAGAGTCTCTCTCTCTTTTTTTTCTCTTTTCAATCTCCTTTAAGTATTTTTGACATGTCAGTGCTGGCTCATTGTGGTTTTGCTCCTGTGTTTAGCATCTGAAGTGAATCAGTTGTAAGAATTGTGGAATCCATAGATAACCCTGAAAATAAACCTCAGTGTGAGGTTTATTTCATATTTCATATTTCAGAAGGTCTCTGAGTAGCAGCCTGAATCTGAAATTAGGCAATGTGACTGTCCCAATGGGGGTTCTTGAATCATGAGAGTTGCCCTTTTGCTTCTCATAGATGCTTCTGCAACAACGACTTTACAAACCCAGGGTTTCTAATAAATCTACATGATGGTTTGAAATTGAATTCAAAGGGGAAAAGAGAAACATCTCATCCAGTTTCATAATCTTGCAGGTGTTATTCTAGTTTCAGTGAATGATTTATGGAGCACATCATTCACTCAGTATTTTTCACTCATAAATACAAACCAGTTAAGTTTGCAGTTTGCACAGCTAATATATGCGTTTTATGATGATTTACTTGTATTGTAAACCATAAACTACAAAAAATGGAAAAGTACCACAATAAATGTGGAAGAAATCTTGATTTAATGCAAATGCAGATCAACATGCAGTTACATAGTTGCAGCTCTTAGGTGTTTTGGAATATGACCATGAATTTAACTAAGCTCATTTAGATTTCTATACTCAATATGAGGGTTTTGCAACAGAGAACACCTCGCTCAATGAATTATGATCTTATTTTTAAGGGAAGCTCTTGTTTTTCCCTTTTCACCTAAAAACAATTATTCATTTACTAGATATGAAATCCCTTGAGACTAATTTTAAAATCCACATGGTTGAAAAAAATCTATTTAGTCTGAATCTTTTGCACAATTTACTAAATTATGAAACTTGAAACCTTCTGGCTTGTTTTACCAACAATTCCCGTCGCTCTTACTAATACTCCCCATTGACATCCTCTTGTGTGCTGTTATTTTGTGAAACATCAGATTATTAGATTGTCGTTTTGTAAACTTGTGCAACCCTTCACATGCAGGTTTGTTTTATTTATGTTATTGAAATCATCAGTGTGTTTCTTTTCCACTAGTCTGGTCAGTTCAATGAAGACATGATCCCTACAGTCGGCTTCAACATGAGGAAAGTCACCAAAGGCAACGTAACAATAAAAGTAAGTCTTATCTACACTGATTGTTCTTCTGTGTCAAGGAGGGTTTTCTTGGATCCAGATATATAAGACTCTTTAATGCACATTATGTGCATCACAAGTACATTGTTACATCACCAGTTCCTGCCATTATGTCCACAAATATGTGCTGTTTTCACATAGATTTGGGATATAGGCGGGCAGCCGCGGTTCAGGAGCATGTGGGAGCGATACTGCCGGGGCGTTAATGCCATAGTGTGAGTATAATCTGCTTTTTGTCCCATCAGAGACATTTAAAATGGTTTATTTCACTGCCCTCTGTGATACTTGATTCTGATTGGTCAGTGACATTGAGCGGTTAGATATTTCTGCATTATGACCATCAAAGTGCATCTAGGAGCTAGATTAAAGAGAGAACTTAAAATTAGACATATTACTTTGCAGCTAAATATTGTTGGCTAGTCAGCCTGTAGAAAAAGGTAACTGATTGCAGATTAATAATACATTAATATACACTACTGTTCAAAAGTTTAGGGCTGGTTATTTGTTTTTTAATAATTTTTTTGATTGTGTCTTATGATCACCAAGGCTGCATTTATTTGATCAAAAATACGATCAAAGTTTACAGTAATATTGTTAAATGTTCTTACAGTTTAAATCAACTTTTTTCTATTTTAATATAGTTTAAAATATAATTTATTCTTGTGGTGGTAAAGCTGAATTTTCAGCATCATTACTCCAGTCTTCAGTGTCACATGATCCTTCAGAAATCATTCTAATATGCTGATTTGCTGCTGAAGAAACATTTCTTATTATCAATGTTGAAACATGTTTTTTGTTGCTTAATTTTTTTTGCAAACCGTGATACTTTTTTTTTCAATATTTTTTTGATGAATAGAAAGTCCAAAACAGCATTTTTAAAAAACTTTTTGTAGCAACGTAAATATTTTTACTGTCACTTTTGATAAATGTAATTAATCCTTGCTGAATAAAAGTATTGATTTCTAGTTCTATTTTTTTATGTAGCGTATAATAAATAAATAGACATTGTTTCAGTGTTCATTTTGTTGCTTTGTTTTGTAATTGACAGTTTTTTCTTTGCCGGGGCGTTAATGCCATAGTGTGAGTATAATCTGCTTTTTGTCCCATCAGAGACATTTAAAATGGTTTATTTCACTGCCCTCTGTGATACTTGATTCTGATTGGTCAGTGACATTGAGCGGTTAGATATTTCTGCATTATGACCATCAAAGTGCATCTAGGAGCTAGATTAAAGAGAGAACTTAAAATTAGACATATTACTTTGCAGCTAAATATTGTTGGCTAGTCAGCCTGTAGAAAAAGGTAACTGATTGCAGATTAATAATACATTAATATACACTACTGTTCAAAAGTTTAGGGCTGGTTATTTGTTTTTTAATAATTCTTTTGATTGTGTCTTATGATCACCAAGGCTGCATTTATTTGATCAAAAATACGATCAAAGTTAACAGTAATATTGTTAAATGTTCTTACAGTTTAAATCAACTTTTTTCTATTTTAATATAGTTTAAAATATAATTTATTCTTGTGGTGGTAAAGCTGAATTTTCAGCATCATTACTCCAGTCTTCAGTGTCACATGATCCTTCAGAAATCATTCTAATATGCTGATTTGCTGCTGAAGAAACATTTCTTATTATCAATGTTGAAACATGTTTTTTGTTGCTTAATTTTTTTTTGCAAACCGTGATACTTTTTTTTCAATATTTTTTTGATGAATAGAAAGTCCAAAACAGCATTTTTAAAAAACTTTTTGTAGCAACGTAAATATTTTTACTGTCACTTTTGATAAATGTAATTAATCCTTGCTGAATAAAAGTATTGATTTCTAGTTCTATTTTTTTATGTAGCGTATAATAAATAAATAGACATTGTTTCAGTGTTCATTTTGTTGCTTTGTTTTGTAATTGACAGTTTTTTCTTAGCTCAAGATATAAACTATTATACAAATATTTCTTGTCCATTTATTTGCTTTTTTGGTAAGTAGCTTTGTAATATGTGGTATAATGCACCAATCAGGCATTATCACAAAATAAACCCCATCATGGTGACACAAGACCACTCTGCTTCATGTTGGGGTCCTGATCAACCTATCAGTGTTTATTTTGCGATAACGTCTGGCTGACTGTATATTATCCCTAACGTGAAGTTTTAGTGTTTACATTATGAACGACTGCATTAAGGACTCTGTTGGTGTTTTCAGGTATATGGTTGACGCTGCAGATCGTGAAAAGGTCGAAGCCTCAAGAAACGAGCTACACAACTTGTTAGACAAACCACAGCTGCAAGGAATTCCTGTAAGAAGAATTGTTTTATTATTGCAGCTGATTTCCCCCTTGTGCTGTTAATGGAGGACTGTCTCTCTTATTAATATTTTGTGCTGTTTTGTTATTGCTGAATTTACCAAAACAGAAAATCAAGCCTAGCCATCGCACCACACCTTTTCCAGATCTTTCCCCAGCTGCTGTGTCTTATTTAAAGAGCATGACTAAGCATCTCTACCATCAGCTTCTGTGGTCCCAGATGTCCTCACTGGGCACATTATAGGTCGTATCTTCAGCAGAGAAATCAGCACAGAGGAAACTGATCGCTCATGGATTATCTGTCTGTAGGGAGTGATGGGACTTTTGACCGTGCCGCCCACTATTTTCTAAAGCGAACAATTTAAAAAGACAGTTGTAGCATGATCTGATGTAGAACCAACACCCAGTAGCATAAATCTTTAAGCACTGGAAGCGAAAGTGCCAATGTTAAACGCGCAGTTTAAACCTAAAGAGGTTCAAGAGGTGCATTTTTCATTGATTTATCTTTACTTTATCCTCCACAGGTACTTGTCCTTGGCAACAAAAGAGATCTCCCCAGCGCACTAGATGAGAAACAACTAATCGAAAAGATGTAAGACTTTTTTTGCATTACTTGATCTTTCTTTAAGTGATTGTTTGACTAGCAAGTTTGGGGCCATGCGAGTGAGAGATTTATTTAAGTGTTTCCTGCTTCATACAGAAACAATATTGCTGTCATATGATGGCATTATGATCTCTAGATGATTTTGATCATAACGAAATTGCAAACATTAATCACATAACATTGCTTTCCTCTTTTTAGACTTCTTTGTTATTTCAACTCCAAAATACTCTGTGGCAGTTCTGTCCTCTTGTGTCTTCCGTTTATGTTTTTTTCTGGGATTTTGTGACATTTCCACAGTCGGTGACCATCCCCAGATCTTTAGACAGAGTTCTTGTGAGGCTACTCAAGAAATGGCAAATGTTTTTTTAACATTTTTTTGTTTCCTATTTCCATAGGAACCTGTCTGCCATTCAAGACCGAGAGATCTGCTGCTACTCCGTTTCATGCAAAGAGAAAGACAATATAGGTGAGAGTTACTGCATTTTATACACATCCAACTGTAAAACTGTGATGTTTGGTCAGTTGACCCTTCGCTTGTTCAATTAGTTTGATTGACAGGCGATCTGACCAATCATAACGCCGAATCTGCCATTTTCTACGACAAACAAACCAGACAGGAGAGTAGATTAACGTAGGTGACTTGAACTTGAATGACTTGTATTGACGTTTTCCACGGTTGAAACAAGACACCTTCTGGTGTTCATTCATGTTTATTTTGTACTATAGCTAGTAAAGAGGAATAGATGATTGGTTCAGGTGCCGCTTGAACTGAGGCGCTACAGCGATCTGTCACGACTCACGACATATTAACGAGCCACAAAATGGTATTTATTGTTTGAATTTCTTAAAAAAAAAAAAAGACAAAATTTGAAAGCGGAGACTTTTTCATACCAAAAGTAACCTGCTCTGTCTTGTCTGTCAGCGTGTTGTGTGTTTCCTCTTCGCTCCACAATGTATTTTTCACTGCGTGAGAACATGATTTGTGTCGACATGGCATGTCGGACGTAGCAACAGTAACTAAGGGGGGCGGGTCTTTGCGAAGGGTCAATTAAAACATCCTAGCAACTGCATAACAACTCTGCCAGTCGCATGCAAGATCCTAGCATTGCGGAGGTAAACACTACTCACATTTTCAGAAAATGTTGAAATCTAATTTTATGGTATTGAGTGTCACAAGCATGTGATATTGATGTTGAAAACGTTTTATATTGTGTATTAGCTTAATTTGTAAAAACTTGAAGTAGATGCTCAGATTTCTTGAAAAAAGTACGAGTAAGACTCCGAGCACAGTATGTGTGTTCAGAACTGCTAAAAGAAGTCCTGCTGGAGTGCAAGTATATTTACTTCAGCGGCTAATACTGAATCAAATGACTCATGAACCACCTCACCGTGACTCATTCACGTTGCAGCTATTGAGAGTTGTTTTATCACCAAGCAGTACGGTTGTGGTGGTTGTGATTTCATCTTCATTTTCACTAATCTGAGAAGCCGTCCATTTGCATTTATTACACTACATTACTCACTGTTTTTATTAGCTTTACAAGCAGCAAATTAGAAAAAGCCAATATGTTCCTTTGAAGCTGCTGTTCCCAAACTATGACACATACTCCACATACTCATCGCTACTCTGCGCAAGGAAATATTTGTAATGGTGTAAAACTGTTTTTGTGAGACATTTACTTTTATTTTATGTTATAAGCGTCACTAATAGCAGTCATTCAAGTGTTAGATCATTATTCAATTCACAACATTTACGTCATCAAATAGCTGCATATAAGAAAGTGAATTAGCATAGTTGCATAATAAGCCATTGACAGTTTAATTTAAGATTTAATTTGAAGATTTTAATTAGTCTGGTTACTAGCAAGTGGCTAAATGGGACTACAGAGGCCAGAGACATTAAACATCATGCCGAAACAGGAAAACTCACAAATCTGGTTTCACAGCCTCATGGTGTTTATACTCCCGATACAGACTATTCTAACTTAAACTTTCTAAAGACTGAAAGTGTTGTTGGAAGCTTAATGGTGGTGACGTTGACTGGTGTAGTTCATTTATAGCCTAACTAACTTTTTACTTTTGACAATTGTATTTAGGCTTCAAAATTGATAAAAGTTGTGTTTATTTGTGAAGATTATTTTGATTAACAAAATGTGAAAAAATCATGAACTTTTGTAGGTCACAGTGCTTATTTTATGTAATAATCCAAAGGGCAGTGGAAAAATCCTATTGGCTTTTTATTGAGTGAAGATGCAGGTTAATGACTTCTGGGTTGGCCTACAAAAATACGGCATCCCTGTTGCTGCAATTTGATGAAATTTAAGTGAACTATACAAATATTTCTTGTCCATTTATTTGCTTTTTTGGTAAGTAGCTTTGTAATATGTGGTATAATGCACCAATCAGGCATTATCACAAAATAAACCCCATCATGGTGACACAAGACCACTCTGCTTCATGTTGGGGTCCTGATCAACCTATCAGTGTTTATTTTGCGATAACGTCTGGCTGACTGTATATTATCCCTAACGTGAAGTTTTAGTGTTTACATTATGAACGACTGCATTAAGGACTCTGTTGGTGTTTTCAGGTATATGGTTGACGCTGCAGATCGTGAAAAGGTCGAAGCCTCAAGAAACGAGCTACACAACTTGTTAGACAAACCACAGCTGCAAGGAATTCCTGTAAGAAGAATTGTTTTATTATTGCAGCTGATTTCCCCCTTGTGCTGTTAATGGAGGACTGTCTCTCTTATTAATATTTTGTGCTGTTTTGTTATTGCTGAATTTACCAAAACAGAAAATCAAGCCTAGCCATCGCACCACACCTTTTCCAGATCTTTCCCCAGCTGCTGTGTCTTATTTAAAGAGCATGACTAAGCATCTCTACCATCAGCTTCTGTGGTCCCAGATGTCCTCACTGGGCACATTATAGGTCGTATCTTCAGCAGAGAAATCAGCACAGAGGAAACTGATCGCTCATGGATTATCTGTCTGTAGGGAGTGATGGGACTTTTGACCGTGCCGCCCACTATTTTCTAAAGCGAACAATTTAAAAAGACAGTTGTAGCATGATCTGATGTAGAACCAACACCCAGTAGCATAAATCTTTAAGCACTGGAAGCGAAAGTGCCAATGTTAAACGCGCAGTTTAAACCTAAAGAGGTTCAAGAGGTGCATTTTTCATTGATTTATCTTTACTTTATCCTCCACAGGTACTTGTCCTTGGCAACAAAAGAGATCTCCCCAGCGCACTAGATGAGAAACAACTAATCGAAAAGATGTAAGACTTTTTTTGCATTACTTGATCTTTCTTTAAGTGATTGTTTGACTAGCAAGTTTGGGGCCATGCGAGTGAGAGATTTATTTAAGTGTTTCCTGCTTCATACAGAAACAATATTGCTGTCATATGATGGCATTATGATCTCTAGATGATTTTGATCATAACGAAATTGCAAACATTAATCACATAACATTGCTTTCCTCTTTTTAGACTTCTTTGTTATTTCAACTCCAAAATACTCTGTGGCAGTTCTGTCCTCTTGTGTCTTCCGTTTATGTTTTTTTCTGGGATTTTGTGACATTTCCACAGTCGGTGACCATCCCCAGATCTTTAGACAGAGTTCTTGTGAGGCTACTCAAGAAATGGCAAATGTTTTTTTAACATTTTTTTGTTTCCTATTTCCATAGGAACCTGTCTGCCATTCAAGACCGAGAGATCTGCTGCTACTCCGTTTCATGCAAAGAGAAAGACAATATAGGTGAGAGTTACTGCATTTTATACACATCCAACTGTAAAACTGTGATGTTTGGTCAGTTGACCCTTCGCTTGTTCAATTAGTTTGATTGACAGGCGATCTGACCAATCATAACGCCGAATCTGCCATTTTCTACGACAAACAAACCAGACAGGAGAGTAGATTAACGTAGGTGACTTGAACTTGAATGACTTGTATTGACGTTTTCCACGGTTGAAACAAGACACCTTCTGGTGTTCATTCATGTTTATTTTGTACTATAGCTAGTAAAGAGGAATAGATGATTGGTTCAGGTGCCGCTTGAACTGAGGCGCTACAGCGATCTGTCACGACTCACGACACATTAACGAGCCACAAAATGGTATTTATTGTTTGAATTTCTTAAAAAAAAAAAAAGACAAAATTTGAAAGCGGAGACTTTTTCATACCAAAAGTAACCTGCTCTGTCTTGTCTGTCAGCGTGTTGTGTGTTTCCTCTTCGCTCCACAATGTATTTTTCACTGCGTGAGAACATGATTTGTGTCGACATGGCATGTCGGACGTAGCAACAGTAACTAAGGGGGGCGGGTCTTTGCGAAGGGTCAATTAAAACATCCTAGCAACTGCATAACAACTCTGCCAGTCGCATGCAAGATCCTAGCATTGCGGAGGTAAACACTACTCACATTTTCAGAAAATGTTGAAATCTAATTTTATGGTATTGAGTGTCACAAGCATGTGATATTGATGTTGAAAACGTTTTATATTGTGTATTAGCTTAATTTGTAAAAACTTGAAGTAGATGCTCAGATTTCTTGAAAAAAGTACGAGTAAGACTCCGAGCACAGTATGTGTGTTCAGAACTGCTAAAAGAAGTCCTGCTGGAGTGCAAGTATATTTACTTCAGCGGCTAATACTGAATCAAATGACTCATGAACCACCTCACCGTGACTCATTCACGTTGCAGCTATTGAGAGTTGTTTTATCACCAAGCAGTACGGTTGTGGTGGTTGTGATTTCATCTTCATTTTCACTAATCTGAGAAGCCGTCCATTTGCATTTATTACACTACATTACTCACTGTTTTTATTAGCTTTACAAGCAGCAAATTAGAAAAAGCCAATATGTTCCTTTGAAGCTGCTGTTCCCAAACTATGACACATACTCCACATACTCATCGCTACTCTGCGCAAGGAAATATTTGTAATGGTGTAAAACTGTTTTTGTGAGACATTTACTTTTATTTTATGTTATAAGCGTCACTAATAGCAGTCATTCAAGTGTTAGATCATTATTCAATTCACAACATTTACGTCATCAAATAGCTGCATATAAGAAGGCTTCAAAATTGATAAAAGTTGTGTTTATTTGTGAAGATTATTTTGATTAACAAAATGTGAAAAAACATGAACTTTTGTAGGTCACAGTGCTTATTTTATGTAATAATCCAAAGGGCAGTGGAAAAATCCTATTGGCTTTTTATTGAGTGAAGATGCAGGTTAATGACTTCTGGGTTGGCCTACAAAAATATGGCATCCCTGTTGCTGCAATTTGATGAAATTTAAGTGAACATGAAAGAAACCAGCAATAATTGTTCTTATTTGTGACCCTGGACCACAAAACAAGTCTTACGTGTCAAGTTGTATTTATTTAGATGTTTATTAGCGAAATAATGGTTATATAGTAAATGTTAATACAATTTAGGGTGTTTTAAACAAGTGAATCTTGTTAAAAGTTACATGCGGTGGCTGTGCTGGAGCATTTCCTGAGCATCAACCCGGTGAGTGAACAGCAATATGAAAGCGGCTTCATGAGACTAATGATGAGCAAATATACAACAGAGAGAGAATTAAATTCAGCGCTTTTATTTCCAACATGCGCTCATTCATGGCTGTATTATTTAACTCATGCAAAGTTACGTCTTTATTGGGAGAGGATCTTGACGGATTATCTACGTAACTCCGACTTCACGAGACTAACGATGAGCATAGACCGAGAGAGAATTCAATTCAGCGCTTTTATTTCCAACATGCGCTCATTCATGGCTGCATATT